GTGAACAAGCTGCTTGAAACGACCAAACATAAGGGTCGCAAAGGACTTGGGTTTGACTCCTCTAGTTTCAAAAGGAAAGGGAAGACAACTTTCATCCCTCCTAAACCTACTGCCAAACCTAATAAGTAGAAAGGAAAGGAAAAGGAGAAACCAACAGAAGTTCCCAAAAAGGTAGTCCCTCCTAAGAACTATAGGAAGCTGGACAGACCTCAAAAAGGAAATAATTTCAGAAGAAAACCTTCTAACCCCCATTATACACGAGGCTATACTCATTATGGGGTAGACAGGAGTTTTCCAAGAAATTCTGAGTGGAGAACTATGCCAAGATATAGTCACCCTCCACCCCAGAAGCTATTTGTGCCACCTAAGTATGCTTATAACCGACACAGGACACACTATGCACAACCTAGACAAAACTATAGGTCTTATCAACCTAGGTTTGCTAGGAGGAAACAGGAAATAGCACCTCCCTCACGTAGGAAGTTTTATGCCTACAACTATGATTACAATCCCAACAAGTTTAGAGCTGCAAGGAAGATTCCCCGCAACTTCAAACTTGATGTAGGGACACACACCATTAACTACTCCGGACCCAAACTTAATTGGGTACCAAAATCTTCCTCCTCCTAATACAGGAAGCCGCTAAGTACCCAGGTGTCTGGTACTTAGACAGTAGCTGTTCAAGACACATGACGGGTGATGCGAGCCTTTTGAGCAATCTAATTCCCTATGATGGTCCAAGAGTTTCTTTTGGAGGAAGCAATGATTTCGGCCTCACTAAAGGGCTAGGAAATCTGGTGTACAAGGGACTAACCATCCAAGCTGTATCTTATGTTGAAGGACTCAATTATAACCTTCTTAGCATAAGTCAGTTTTGTGATAAAGGTTACTCCTTTGAATTCTGCAAGAATATGGCATCTCTCAAGAACATCTCCACAAATAAAGTCATTCTCACTGGGAAGAGAATCAGAAACATCTATGAAGTAATATGGAGCGATGTCAAGGAAGCATGTCTAATCAGCAAAGGTGACACTAACCTTCTATGGATTTGGCATAAGAGGTTGAGTCATCTCAACTTCAAAACCCTCAACAAGCTGTCCAAAGAAGAGTTAGTAGAAGGTCTTCCCAAAGCTGCATTCAGAAAGGAAAGTATTTGTGATGCTTGCCAAAAAGGAAAGCAAGTCAAGTCCACCTTCAAGGAAAAATTGGCACCCTCAACTACAAGGATATTAAGTCTTATTCACATGGACTTATTTGGCCCTGTTACACCAATAAGTCTAAGTGGAAAGAAATATGTCCTGGTCATAGTTGATGATTACTCAAGATACACATGGACAATCTACCTCAACAGCAAGAAGGAGACTCAAGGGAAACTCAACAACTGCATGAAGCTGATTCAAAACCAAGCAAGTCAGACCATTCAGAAGATCAGATCTGACAAAGGCACAGAATTCCTAAATGAAATCATCATTCACTACTATAAAGAAAACAGAATTCTTCACCAGACATCCGCAGCAAGGACACCTCAACAAAATGGTGTAGCTGAAAGAAGGAACAGAACCCTGAAGGAAGCAGTGAGAACCATGCTAGCAGAAGCTTCCTTACCAAAGAGGTTCTGGGCTGAAGCTGTTAACACAGCCTGCTATACTCAAAATAGGAGTATGATTTATAAAAGGCACAACAAAACTCCCTATGAACTGTGGAACGGGAGAAAGCCTAATATATCGTATTTCCATATTTTTGGGAGCAAGTGCTTTGTGTTAAACAACGGGAAGAATCATCTGAACACTTTTGATGAAAAATCAGATGAAGCCATCTTCCTTGGATACTCTATGATGAGCAAGGCATTCAGAGTTTTCAACAAAAGAACCATGATCACGGAAGAGTCAATACATGTTATTTTTGATGAAAAACATGTGGTTGACAAGCC